TCCCTCCCTCCTTCTCCTCCCCTCCCGGCGAGGGGCGGGAGGGGGCGTGGCAGGGCCGGGGTTTGTGTGGCTGGGACCCGGCTCCTCGCACTCCGAGTCCGCCCGAGGAGCCGGGCCCCGGCCGCTGTCCAGCCGCTCCGTGCCCCTCGCGCCCTGCTCCTCAGCCTCTCGGGGAGACGCTGCCACTCGCTCGTCATGGATACCTCAAGGGTCCTGCTCTCGGCCGTCTTCCTCATCAGTTTCCTATGGGATTTGCCCGGTTTCCAGCAAGCTTCCATCGCATCCTCCTCGTCGTCCGCCGAGCTGGTCTCTGCCAAGGGAATGCGAAGCCGCAAAGAAGGGAAGATGCCGCGGGCGCCGCGAGAGAATGTCACGGCCCGGGCACCCCTGGAGCGCCAGGAGCCACAGCCAAGGCCGCAGGAGGAGCCCCGGCGGCGACCGCCACAGCAGCCCGAGGCTCAGGAGCCTCCGGGCAGGGGCCCGCGCGTGGTGCCGCACGAGTACATGCTGTCAATCTACAGGACTTACTCCATCGCCGAGAAGCTGGGCATCAATGCCAGCTTTTTCCAGTCTTCCAAGTCGGCCAATACGATCACTAGCTTTGTAGACAGGGGATTAGGTAAGTGGCAAAGAAGACGCCGACTCCTTTCCCCATGGAGCTCCGCAGCGAGGGCGCTGCTCGGGCTCTGGCAGGAGGCTACATTTGTGAATCCCCTTCCCGCTCTGGACACCTCCCCTTTTCTTTTCTTAAACTGTTTTTCTCAAGCCCAAGTGAGTTTCCGAATGCGGCTGCAGATCTTATTCCAGTGTGCAATCCTCCCCGCCTCGCTTTCTTCATTCCCTTCCTTCCTTTCTCCCTTCCTTCTTCCTCTTGCCTTTTGCAGAAAGCAGCGTAGGGGCCGCTTGTTTGGTGGTTGGTGGAGGAAGCGTGGAGGGCAGGAGTTGGCGGGCAAATGACCCGGGCGGGAACCGACGGAACCCATGGCAAGGGGTCCCACGTTGCACCGGGTGCGCGGTCCAAGACTGGAGCTGCGGTGGCGGCCCCGGCAGCCCTGGGGCCTGGGTGAGCGTTGGGAAGCCCCGAGCTCCCGTCGGCTCCGGGAAAAGCCGGCAGAAGCGAGTTCCGCGGTCCGAGGAGCGAGTCTGGCAGTGCCCCGGCCCAGCCGCTGCACGGGTTCTCCGCTTTTCCCCGCTGGGTGTGGGCATGGTCAGCCGGGTCGGAGCTCCGCGCCGAGCTCCGCGCCCTCGGACTTTATTTTTCGCTCCAGCAGCGCGCTCTCGGCCACTCCGGGGCCGCAACCGAGTCATTCTGCAGAGGCAGTGGCAGCAACCGGCAGGGTGGGCCGGGGACATGGGCAAGTCAGCTAAATTGTTGGTACTTAATCCACATGGGTGTCTACGTGTGTTCATCCAGCTTTCTCAGCCAGGAGACTCTCCTCTCTCTGCGCCTCTACAAGGGAGCCCGTCTTTGGTCCCCGGCGCCGGTGCTTGTGTGAGCGTCTGCGGAACTCCCTACGCCCCCTCCTTGCCACCCGCGTTGGTCTGCAGCCTGGCGAGTGCCTTGGAGAAAACTCGCGCTCCCCTGGTACCAGAAATTGGGGAGGAATCTGCATACGCCGGGAACTCGGCTCCTAAAGAGAAGAAACAATAATGTGGAAGGAGACAGGAAAGGAGGGGAGAAAAAGCAAAGGAAGGGCAAAGGCGAGGTAGAAGGTGAGAAGAAAGGAAGGAGGAGATAAAAGAGATCTGGGCATCTATCCACTCTGCCACCCTGCCCAGACTTCAGCTCCTCGAGCTGTACTCGTTCCCCGCCTGTGACTTCCAGGTCAGTGAAAGTGGGGTCTCCCGGGAGCGGCGAGCATGGGGTTCCGACTGAGAGGGCTGCTCTGCCCGATGCCTTGGGGACTCACACACCCTCGAAGCTTTACAGAGCAGGCTAACGGCTCGGAGCCCCAGTTCTTCATAGGCTTCAGCCCCAAGCCTTTGCCTTGCAGCCGCTTTGCTTGCGGGCACGAGTCCTGCCCACGCTCGATTCGCGGCTGCAGCCAAAGGTCAGTGAGGTTCACGAGCTGTTGAAAGGTCTGGGCGGCAAATTAACGGCACGGTATTTTATGGTGATTTTAGGACTACTAAAGTCACCTTTGCAAATACAAGTGGCTTCTTCGCAGCGCTGCATGGTCTGGGTCCCCGGCCGCCCTGCTGCCAGCGCAGCTCGCCTTCTCCCCACCTCCACCCCTCGTCGTACCTCTGTTGTTTCCCTCCCTTCAAATCTTCCGCTTATCGTTCGCCTTCTCTAAGACTCTAGTCTAAGACTACCCTAGCAGAGACAATTGCTCTGGAGACCTTTCCCCAAGGGAGGACATCCCGGAGGCCCAGGCGACTGGGCGCGCGTTTTCTTCTCCCCACGGGAAGTGGCCAGAACCTCCGCCCCTCCCCCAGGCAGACCCCCCCCAACTCGAAAGCTGCGCCCTGTGAGCTTGGCACGGGACCAAGGGACCCTGCAGGCTGCTCGGAGGCGGCTAGC